TAGTATGTATCATCAATCGATGGTGAAATGTTTGGAGTCAGAGTGTTAAGATGATCAAAGAAAATAGAACGAGAACACAGAATGATTAGTGTGGAAATGAAGGAACAATCAAGTTTGAGATGATTGATTGACATTTTGCAAATGACTTGGAATGAACTTCATCTTAGAATAGTGAAAGTGTTGTACATGCTACTGATGTCGGTAGATATAATTAGTATGTATCGTCAATCGAATATGAAATGCAAAGAGAAGAGAGTGAAGTGAATTGACGTACAGGAGGGAAGGTGTGTCACCCAACTCGATTTAACCAACAGTGAATCAAGATTTATAGTCAGACAAAGATGAGTTTACCGACGTGTAATGAGTAAGATAGAAAATGAACACACACACACACACTCATACGCTCACATGAAAACAATCAAAGACAAAACGTGACAGCAGAAGAAGAATGAATAAATTGGTCTGTCCAGAAGTTAGAACAAGTTATATAGGCTTAGCATAGTAACCAACACTATATACTTCCCCCCCCTCCAGAACTCATTGACAGAAATCATAGATCAAATAAATTACTTTTGAATGATTTTACACCTTATAAATTCCATTGTTTATTTACTCTGTTTCTATACAGTTCACAGAATATAACTTTATCATATTCAAATATCACATGTACCCTATTCTAGTCATTGTAAAATGTTTTTGCAATAAACTACTTCCTTGATTTAATTCCTCCGGTTTCTTTTTTTTTATTTTGGTTTCCAAGTTATTTTGTCTGGGATTTTTGAAAAAAAAATTTTAAAAGAAAAATGAGAAAATAAAGGCTATTACTTTGTTTCTATATCAGTATCAGTTAGTTACAATATATAGGACTAGGCACAACGATGCATCGGTTCAAGTTGCCATGGAGACTATAATCTCAGCATGTTTTGACAATCAATTTTATTTTATTCTAGTTGTTGCTGATTGTTGTTGTTGTTGTTATGTTTTTCTTTATTTGAAGAAAAGCCAAGCTGTGAGACTGTAATTGAAAAAAGAATAAACGAATTCTGATTATTTTTTTATTATTACGCCTGTGATAATGATTTACAAATTACAATTTGGGAAATTCATTGTTACATAATCTATCTTTTTTCTTTAATATTTTTTAAGTAGTTTATTCAGTAGTATAATGGAAAATGCAGGAAGTTTAATTTGATATAGAGTGTATATGTGTATTTACTTGGTAGTGATACCTTGACTTTTCATCCTATTGATGTTTTGGACTGTAATTGATTAGTTTGTTATTGGCATATGTATATCCTGTGCGTAATGCCTTGATATTGCATTAATTCAGAAGCTTCTTAAGCAAAGATGGATGGTGGCTAGCAAGTAGAATCCAGTTTAATGTGTGTTTCGTCCTATTTGGGACTTGTCAGCTGGATGTACTTGTATCTCAGAGTTGATATTCACTGCGGGACTCGAATCCAGTACCGTTCACGTTAAATAGGTTCGTTTTGAAAATTGACAAGATCATAATGAGAGATCACATTTTTTGATTTAATAATATCGAATGATAAATTCATTGATTGTAGAAATTAAAACTACCCAATGTGTAAACATTTGATATTGGCTTCCGAATCGCTTTTTGAATCTTCAGATTTTTCTGTGCGCTCGAACTCCACACAGTAGACAAAAGGCATGATCTATAAATGTTCAAGGAACTAGAGTATTTATAAGGTTTCTGGTAGGTTCTGACTTTTGGAAATTCCTGGATTCATGTTCAACTTAAAAAATTCCCATATTGTAATTTAGAACAACATAGATATATAAGCGAACCTTATTATTTTCGATTAGATCTTCATCAGGCTATACTCTAATGTACAGCGTACAGTACAAATTGATAGTAGTGTGATGACAACTGTACAAGTTGTGATAAGCAATAATAAAGGCTTGGATCAATATTACATAATAACAAAATAGGTCATTGATTAGAAAAATATAGACAATGAAATAACATTCATTATAAGATTACGTAATAAGGAGGAAATGTACAGATACCCGGACCATGAAGCGTATATTTGAGGAAAGAAAAGAGTGGGAGGAGGTGAAGAAATATAAACGAACAAAGAGTATAGGAAATAATAATAATAAATAAAATCATTTATTAAGGTCAAGAGAGAGATATGGGTGTTACAAATTTCTTATGAACACAAAAACTTGTATTGTCTGTTTTGAATTCCTATATGTTCTGCCGTGTGTAAGAGACAAGATCGGACCCCATAAGGAAATACGATAATTAACTTTAATTGACTTATTTCCGTCTACTACATAATCGCTATCGATCAAGCGTGATAGGACAGATTTGAGTATTGTCTTGACGGTACCTTTTCCTAACGACGAAGGGAGGTGTTCACTAACTCTTCGGTTCAGTTGTTTGGTAGTGCACCCAATATAGCTTACACCCGTCATCATACTACTATTAATTTGTACTTTTCACTTATTTATGTCATCTATTCTATTGTTATCATCATTAACTCATAAACTGCTTTATTGATTTGATTCATTTCCTATATCCATATGTAAATACATTACTGTATATTAGAGCAAAACCTGATGAAGATCTAATATTTTTAGACAAAAACAATAACCGATTAGAAACCTTATGCTTTATGCCCAAAATTAACCTGTTCAACATTGGTAATCCATTTTGGTTAGATGAAGGCATAGATCAATGTTATTCATATATAATATACCCTTGTGGGTCAGAGTAATTTTACATCGGTTTTTAGGAGAACCAGACACCATCCAAACTTTCACGTGACAACACAAACATTACAACCCAACTCCATTGTATCACTCAATTTCGTGGATTAGTTGAAGTTACACATTAACACCGTTGGATGCCGGCCGGCTCAGTGCTCTAGTGGTTAAGTGCTCGCACGCGAAACCAGTAGAACCTGGGTTCGAATCTCGCAGGGGGCGAGGTCATGGATGCGCACTGTTGAGGAGTCCCACAGTAGGGCGAAACAGTCGTCCAGTGCTTCCAGGTTTTCCATGGTGATCTAGCTTCAACTGATTCATAATCTTAACCATTGAAATTACTACAATCTCCACAAAACCCCTTCTGATATCATTCATCATATATCTTTATAAGATTAGGAAATTTATTTATTATCCATCTATTGTTAATATTTCTCAACTAATTCAAATTAATTATGCTTTAATCATTGAATTCATCAGCTTATTAAAGCTAGATCATCATTGAACATTTGAAATCACTGAACGGTTATTTCAGCCTGATATGGAACTTCGTTGAGAGTACAAATTGTGGACAAACCAATCAAGTATAAGTGAACAGGTCTTGGATTTTGGCGCGAAATTCATTCATCCAATTTGGATAAATAGAATTTTGGCATTATAGCTGATGTTAGTTCGTGATGAAAACCCTTAAATCTAATTCCTAACCCCTAAGCATCAAGTGTAAATCATCATTCGAATTACTCATACACTGCTTTATAACCCTCATTTGATCTTAGTTATTAGATGAACACTCTTAAGGTCATTGTAGAGTCACTCAAAGGTGGTCCATCAATTACAATCTCACTGAAACTTCTTAGCAGTGCAAATCCGCGAATAGATAAGCATATTCAAATGAACATTACATATTAGTTATTTTATAATTGAAAATCTTTATTTTCTAAGATGATGGATAAGATTTGTAGCTCAGGTGGATGATTTTGATAGAGTTTTGTTCTTTGAATTGGATGGTTTGGTTGTGGAGGTTTCATCGTTCTTTTGAACGACATCATCAACACAAACTTCATGTAGACCCCGATCTTGATTGATTACTGTTGACCTTTAACCTTTTATTGTTTGCTTTATTTTGATTATATCTCCCAATCAGAAAAATTATGGTCAAATATAAGACCAAATAACAAATCAATAATGGGAGATACAATCCAAAACATAAATACATTATGACAGGTTAAAGGTCAACAGTAATCAATTAAGATCGAGTTCTACACGACAAGCTATGAGTAATATATGAAGAAATTCTACCTGAAGTTTGTGTTGATGATATCGTTCAGAAGAAGATGATTTCAGCTCCACGACCAAACTATCCAGTTCAGAGAACAAAACTCCATCAAAATCTTTATTGTCTATTGTAAATCATATAAGGATGAATTCATTAAAGTTATATCATATTACCACTGTTTGATTATTTTAAACTAATCTATGTTCTATAAACAATGATACATGATGGCTAACAGTAGGAGATCAAGATATACATTTCATTCTAATTAAGAAGATTCAAGTAAATAATCTATATTCTATTATCGTTTCTTGAAATGATAACCTTGACTGTATTTATATGAATGTATGTATGTGTATTGCATATCCTACTCATTACATGTCTGTAACTTATTATGGTTCGGCTATAAATATCGATTCATCATCAGCAATAGCCTTTTGTGGGAGAGAACAAACCAACTTCCAGTTGAAGAGGAAATTAGGAAAACACGATGGAAATAGATAGGACATACAGTGAGGAAATCATCAAACTGCATTACGAGGTAAGCGCTAATTTGGAATCCTGAAGGGAAGTGGAATAGAGGAAGTCCAAAGAACACATTACATCGTGAAATAAAAGCAAATATGAAAAGAATGAATATGAACTGGAAATATCTGGAAAAGATTGCCCAGGACAAAGTTGGATGGAGAATGTACATACTCCTTCTCCAGTGTACATTATTTCACTTCATCCTCTTCTATTCACATCGTTACTCCGCTCGTTTCTATTCGAAACATTCATTCTCATATTTGACTGAATATAATTCTACTATACACTAATACTAATTAAGTCAAACATTAGTGATATATCTATTTTGACACCAATCATTCATAGGATCAACTTCAAGTTAGATAATAGGATCCCTATAAAGTTTATTTACATCAAAACAAACAAAAAAAAACAAAACAAGAAAAACATATACCTATTACAGTTATTACGTAATTTGACTTACCTTTTTATACCATAACTGAAATCAATAAATAAGTAATATGTTACAATAGATAGTAATAATACACTGATATTTTGATTCATGGAACAATATTGTCACTATGTACTATGGATACAGATAGATATAGATATGAATATAGAGTATATATAGTCACGTCAATGATATCAATGAATTAATGATTATCTTCTAAGTGATTATGTAATATTGTTAAATTAATATTAAGAATAAAAAACAAAACAAAACAATCTAATGAATGTCTACAATACACTGCATGTTTCTCTTTTGTTTTTGTTTTTTTGATTTTTTTTCTGAGGGGTGGGGAGGTGCAGTTAGTAACAAGTTTAAGTAATGTAATGTAATGTAATGTAATTATAATTTGAAGAAATAGATGAAAAAGAAATTGTCTATTAATAGAAGACTATTTATAATAAAATTTAATTGTGAACATGTTTACAAAAGTACACAAATACATGGATATATGTATGCACACATACACACACACACACAGAGAGAGAGAAGCACTCACGCTCGCACATGTACATATGTTTTTGTATATACGATTGTTACTGTTGCGAAGTGAATAATAATGAAAAAAAAAATTTATATTGTGGGCGATTTGAAAAAAGCAAACAAACAAACAAACAAACAACCAATCAAACTGTGATATGATTGGTTAGTTATTTGGTTAAATTATGTTATTTATTACATAACAGGTTAATAATAATAGAATTATATTTGGATAATAGAAATGTTACATTGTATATGATAAGAAAGATTGAGGTTATTCATAGTTCATAACTTACTTACTTAATTACGCCTGTTACCCTTAATGGAACATGGCCCATAGACCAGCATTCTACAATCCACTCTATCTTCGGCCTGCTTTTATACTTCTATTCAATTTTTTGTTCATTTTTTTCAACCAATATCAAAGTCAGAATCTTCAATACGAACGTCAAGGCAGTTCTACTGTACGGAGCTGAAACTTGGAGAACTACAACAACCACCATCAAGGAGGTACAGGTATTTATTAATAGCTGTCTACGCATGATACTCAACATCGATTGGCCGGATACCATCAGCAACAGCCTTTTGTGGGAGAGAACCAACCAGCTTCCAGCTGAAGAGGAAATTAGGAAAAGACGATGGAAATGGATAGGACATACATTGAGGAAATCATCAAACTGCATTACGAGACAAGTGCTAACTTGGAATCCTGAAGGGAAGTGGAAAAGAGGAAGGCCAAAGAACACACTACGTCGGGAAATAGAAGCAGATATGAAAAAGATGAATAAGAACTGGAAAGAGCTTGAAAGGATTGGTTGGGACAGGGTTGGATGGAGAATGCTGGTGAGCGGCCTATGCTCCTTTACGAGGAGTAACAGGCGTAAGTAAGTAAGTTTTTCATGTCTATCTCCATTTCTCGGCGTATTGTGTTCTTTGGTATTCCTCTCCTTTTCCTTTGGTCCTGAGGATTCCATATGAGAGTTTGCCTTGTGACGCAGTTGGGTGCTTTCCTCAATGCGTGTGTTCTATCCACTTCAAGCACTTTTTCTTGATTTTTCTCTCCACTAGGATCTGGTTTGTTCTCTCCCATAGTAGGTTGTTCTTGATAGTGTCTAACCAACAGATCCGAAATATTTTGCGTATGATAATGCCTTTTGTAGTTCTCCAAGTTTCCACCCTATACAGTAGAACTGTTTTGACATTTATATTGAAAATTCTGACTCTAGTGTTGATTGTCAATTCTTTCGAGTCACAGATTATCTTCAATTGTAGATATGTATCAGACATTTATAGTTGATTATCTGACTATAAAATGATTAATAAGGATCTCTGATCCAAAAAAAAAGATCAATGTAATGAATACTTGTTAAACAAGTATATCTATAATTTTCAAAGTCCATCCTAATGCTGAAGTGTAAATCGAATTGGGAATAACTTTCCACTACTCCCCCTTTTTATGTTGATTTTATACTACGAACTGACTATGTTTAATCAAGTATTTGGAATTCAATAACATTGGATAATTGTTTCTTCCTAGCATTGGATTCTTCAGGAGAAGCCATTACAAAAGGTGAATTCTAATGATTCACAATCTTTATTACTTTCATATTATCCTTTTGTTTGCTTCATCTACCTCTAATCCAATTTCCTTTTCAGGTACCTCCAGCAGAACCCTTCCACGGTGTGGGCAACCGGGAAGTGATAACCGCTCTCATACCTCTAACAGCACTCAAGACCTTCATCTTCCTCTCTTCATCCGTTAAGTTTATTGATTCTGTGTTCATATTTTACGGCTTATCACTTTTTCAATTGGGTAATTATTATAATAAATTTGTCTATTTGAGATTTCTTGACACGAATCATTGACATATTTAAATTGCTTTCTATAACTATATTCATGTATAAACAGCCCATCATATTATAGTCATGTTAAATAATAATAAACTCAAGTGGATACATCACATTATTCAGTATATTTCTTGACCTATTTATTCATATGAAAAGTCAGATATATTTAAACAAAAGTTCATTCAAAAGTGCCGGTAAGCGATTAGTTATATAAATACGTGATACCTTGATAACTATTTGGGACTCGTCATCTGGACGTACTTGATAGATGTTCACTCAAGGACTCAAAACAACTTTATGTTATCCACTTAGTTACTGGATACAGAAACCCACTAACCTGTGTAATGGTGTGAAGTTTAATTAAAATAGAACGAAATGTGTATCCTGGAACTCAATGTTAGTCACTATTCATCTCTGTTTATAATGTTTGTAATCTCGAGGCAATTCGTTTAGGATACACATATCCCAATAAGAGACTGATCAATATTCACATAGCTTGATATTTTTAAAAGTACATCCCATTCGACAATAAAGGTACAATACAAACATAGTTAATGAATGTAAGAATGACAAAACATTGACTCCTGAAAAACGCCGACACTCGTATTCAGACGATACTGTTTGATGTTTTCATCAATTGTGTAGAAGAATTTGTCATATGCTTCCGAATAGTATTTAAAGGCTTTGAATCACTTCAGTGTTTTATTTTCTAATGACTAGATTAAATGCTTCAATTTGGATGATTAATTCCAGTCATTTCTGCTGATGTTTATCATTTGATCATACAAGATCGATTCATGATTATCATGAACAACATTCAACACAAAACAAACCAATAGATGATAGTATTGATGTTCATTCATAACACTATAGTGGCTAATCAGAGTATTCTGATTACCAATGGTAATTTAACTGATGAAGCTATAAATTTTTATCGACTAAACGAATTAGAACATGTGTTACACAACCACAAACAAAGCTTAACTTGATACTTAAATCTCATTGGTTAGATAAACATAAGAACCGAATTATGTCATCGGTTCGTGACATAATGATATAGACTTATTGATCAGCATCCATGGGATGATCATAATCTACATTGTGTAAAATCGGTTACATTAGTATAATTGAATTCATTCACCATTGTCTCCTAAATATTGATTTAAATTTCATAGTTATTTTTCAATCATATTTGTTCTGGATGGAATATGTTCTCATGTCCACTTTTAAACGTCAGTTGATATGTGGATATTTACCTTTAATCTTGCATATTTCAATTCTATAAATATAAGTTGATACTTATTTATCTCTGTTATAACGGTCAGATTTCATAGTCTACACGAACGGGACGTTAATTTGCCTTAGACGAATATCAACACTTGACTAGACAGATGACATTGATCACCACCCAGTGATCAATCAATTGTCATTATATCCCAGTCCTACAGGATGTCGGTCGCGCCTCGGATAGCTCAGTGGTAACGCCTCTGACTGTGAAGCTGGGTGACACAGGATCGGATCAGTCAGTGACTACAGATACACCTTGCTGATGAGTGCCAAGTAGCACGAAACTCGAGTTTCATCTCGACTACCTCCAACCACCATCTAATTTCACATTAGTGCCCGCAGTGTCGAGTCACCTAGACTGGTGGCCACATTGCAACATGGTCGATAGTATTCGATCTGCACTAATAAGGACTAGACAATCATGGCATTGATCACCACCCAGTGATCAATCAATTGTGACACTAGATTCCTTCCCAGTGTTTATTCTATAGAACTTCAACACAACTTAGATTAAGAACACGTGATTAACGTGACTAGAATGTAAATATATTTCCACACCGAAAACCGACAACGATCCGTCAACAATCACAGTAATAATAAAAGTGAAATGATGTATAACTCATCTAATGCCTGTCAGGTTATTTATGAGTTTAACTAAGCAAACAACCAATCATTATTATTCTCACCCACACATCAATCCCAGGCTTTACAATTTTGTTACCTAATCAACTAACTTGATTGTAGCATAAATCAATGTAAATCAGAAAACTACAGATAAATATTCTGTATTTTATGAACTCAGAGAGTTCTGGGTTCGAATCCCGCAAACGAAATTGTGGATACTCAGTGCTCAGGAATGCCATACCATGACGAAATGGCTGTTCAATGCTTCCAGGTCTAGCCTTAATTGACTCATGAATTCAATTAATAAAGTCTTTCAGCATATCAAAATGGCAACATCAAAAATTAATCCAACAATAAGTCACTAGACAAATTAATATCTTACAATAAACATAATGCAGTTTCTAATCCAACAATGAAATGACTAAATCTATGACCATCTTACAAACCTCGTACAATTTTATTCTCGTGTGTTAATATTACACTACTATTACTACTACTACTACTACTACTACTACTACTACTACTACTACTACTACTACTACTACTACTACTACTACTACTACTACTACTACTACTACTACTACTACTACTACTACTACTACTACTACTACTACTACTACTACTACTACTACTACTACTACTACTACTACTACTACTACTACTACTACTACTACTACTACTACTACTACTACTACTACTACTACTACTACTACTACTACTACTACTACTACTACTACTACTACTACTACTACTACTACTACTACTACTACTACTACTACTACTACTACTACTACTACTACTACTACTACTACTACTACTACTACTACTACTACTACTACTACTACTACTACTACTACTACTACTACTACTACTACTACTACTACTACTACTACTACTACTACTACTACTACTACTACTACTACTACTACTACTACTACTACTACTACTACTACTACTACTACTACTACTACTACTACTACTACTACTACTACTACTACTACTACTACTACTACTACTACTACTACTACTACTACTACTACTACTACTACTACTACTACTACTACTACTACTACTACTACTACTACTACTACTACTACTACTACTACTACTACTACTACTACTACTACTACTACTACTACTACTACTACTACTACTACTACTACTACTACTACTACTACTACTACTACTACTACTACTACTACTACTACTACTACTACTACTACTACTACTACTACTACTACTACTACTACTACTACTACTACTACTACTACTACTACTACTACTACTACTACTACTACTACTACTACTACTACTACTACTACTACTACTACTACTACTACTACTACTACTACTACTACTACTACTACTACTACTACTACTACTA